GAATTACCTATCGTTAAATTTTCATGAGCTCTTTTGGGAAGATAAATTATCTCTATTAATTGATATATCAAAAGACTTAATTAAAATTCACAAAGCTGGATACCTTCATTGTGATATTCACTGTGGTAATATTTTACAACATAAAGAAGAATCATGGCTTGGTTCATTAAAATCCTACATTGCGGATTTAGGGTTATCTCGAAAGAATGAAGAATTAGTTTCAGAAAAAGGAACATATGGAGTTATGCCTTATATTGCACCTGAAATTTTAGTAGGACAACGATATACACGGGCAGCTGATATATATAGTTTTGGAGTTATTATGGCTGAAATGACTACTGGGGTTCCTCCATTTTATGGACGTTCATTCAATACAGAGCTTGCATTAGAAATTTGCAATGGATTGAGACCTTGCTTTGCTTCAAAAACTCCTAATTGTTATGTCGAATTTGCAAGATTATGCATGCAATCAGATTCACAAAAGCGGCCTATTGCTGGAACTATTCTTCACAAACTTTCCGAATGGCATAATCTTATATGCGAACAAGATGTATATAATGAATTTGACGAAGATATTGACGAAGGTATTGATGAGCTTAATGAATCTGATGAAAAATTAAAAATTATTAGAGAATTTAGGGAGGCTGATATGATGATCCCCGAATTATCAATGACTTTGAAAGAATATTCTGATGTAATATACACGAGTAAATTTATCAATACAATCGAAATTTCGAAACGAGCAGGTATTCGTACTATTTTACATGCGATTAAGTTGTTATATGCCATAATTTTTTAATCTTTATCCATGTATGTAGATTCTACCATTTGTGATCTTGATGTTCTCAATAAACTATTCGTAAGCTTCTCATGAATATTTTGGTCAGGACTAAGGTGAAGATAGGGAATCGTTTATAAAAAGATTTTCACAGAAAATTTTTTAGTTAGAATGCAAAATATAAAGTTTAAAATACTATTTATTTTGTTGAAAAATTTGGGCTCATAATTTGCTACCATACGCATTCTATATCTGACCTTCAAAGAAAAGTTTATGTTATCGAAACCATGACCGCACAAAGTCAAAATAATATTAGTAAAAAAATAAACGAGAACATGCATAACAATATTTTTGAAAATTAGAATTTAAACATGTGTTCATGCTTATACATTTCTATTATTCGTATATTAAATAAAATATAGTTAAGTTATGATATATTAATAAGCTCCACCTTTTAATGGTAGGTAAAATGGAATTAAAATTGATGTATTTTTGTAATATCCACTTACTTCGATTCAGGGTTAGGACTAGAGTTAAGCGATCTATACGAATAAAATGGAATTAATTTAACATCTGTTGAATCAAGAATATTACATCTTGAAGTTTTATAAGGAAAGGCTTTAAAGCTTTTTTATTTGATCTAGTTGTTTTGAAATGTTTGTTTAAATAAAACTTCTGACAATTCACGACTGAGTAATATTGTGCTTTGTATTTTGATTTCTAATACCGGATTTTTATTAATACCGCTATCGTAACCTCTTCATCACAATATCTATCACGTCATTTTCCATAACTGTTAATTTAAAGCAAAAACTAAAACCGAACACGTTCAGCAATTATTAGCTAAAACCTTTTCCCGTTTTCGGCCATACATCAACTAAAACGGCGATATTTAATGGTGTAATTTATAGTATATTATTTGTACAAGATCTGAATAATAACACTCAGTAAACCTTTAGTGACCGAATTAACAAAGTACATGATATTCCTTTATGAGTTAACAAAAGTCATGTTGAAGTTTAGGTGAGTAAACATTCTTCGAAGAAAAATATATTTATTGAGGGGATAATCATTGAAATTGCGGTTCTACTACGAGTAATGAAGAGAAATTAATTTAAACGCGTCAATGAATTTATGAAGATTTATTACCTGTTATATACGAATTTTCTGAATACTTTTATTACGGACAGATTTAAGTGTAAAATAAAACATTAATATTTAATATTATGGACTTAAACTTTGCTAATTATAATATAATAACTTTGTTGCTACATTTATTATTTTAACAGATTATTTATTATAATATTGGTATAAATTACATTGTTCAATAAAATAATGTACAATGACTTCGTTTTTTCAACTGACTTATTGATTATTTTATTTAATTATTTATTTGTAAAATATTTGTTACATACAGTAAGTTTTGGTATAAATTTTTATTAATAGAGGGTTTCAGGATTAATGATTCGGTGTCTGATCTCAGATAAAATAAGTGGCATATTTATTTTAAAATAAGCGATCTATCATATACTATTTTATATTAAGAGTAAGCTTATTTATATTATTTTGTTTATTAACGATACTTTTGTAATCGGTATTTTTTTATTTTTATTTTTTTAATAACTACATTCCAAAGTTAATTTAAACACTGCACTGCTATTGATTCAAAATTTTTAAATACGAGTACAATTTTTTAAACTCTTACTTATTTTTAAAATACGATAATTTTGAAACCCCTAATGAAATTGAATTGTCAAATAAAGTTATTTGTAAAAGAGAGGAGGATAATTTAAATTTATAATTCTATAGTATATATTTATAATTCTATAGTATTTATCTATAATCTAAATTAATTTTAAATTAGAATTGTTAGCGTTAGTATTTTTTTTGAATTAAAACAGAGCTTAAGAATAGGGATAGGAAATTCT